CAAAATTTCAATCAATTATGGAAAGATATTAATGCATGTAAAATATCATACGTTGAAAGACATGCACACGCAGACTAATTATGGGACCGAGAGTTTCGTGGAACTGTTCTGTCCAGAGTTCATATTAGAACTCTCTGTAGTCGGTTCTGTCCCCTGTTCCACCTGCATGGTTAGTCATCAACAAAACCACATACTCAACACGGATTACGAAGGTTGACCGACGATAAAGTTAAATGATCCCTGTGAAAACTCGGATTATTTTTAGTAAATAAAATTTACATATTCAGAAACTACATTAAACCTGCTACAAAGCCTGCTAAAAATAATTCAGCTTTTATAAAATTTTGATATAAAAAGTAAGAGTTTAAGAGTGATTTAAGTTGACCCTCGATAAGCGAAATGGAACTTCTTTTAGGGACAGAGGGAGTATATGATATGATCGAGCTAGCTGTGATGTTGTATACGAAGTACGACTGTACGAGGTATATACTACGTACGATAGTATATACTTCGTATTTGTGCAGTGTATATAATGTACAACGTTGAAATGGGCGAGGAGCCGTAATATAGGGGCAGTTTGGCAGTTCCGACCATGGCCCACACGGGTTTCAAGACTTCAACATACATCTGTTATTATTACTACCTCGAGTTACTACCGTCCTCACTCTCCTGTCACTCTTCTTTCTCACCTTCTAAATCAGTAAATTACTTGTTTTATTTCCCTTCGTAGTTTGCGAATTATTCCTTACACATTTACACTATTGAGAAAATTCGTTAAAGGAAGACTAACACACAACCTATGTTGCACGGATACGGATACGCCGATACGCGGATACGCGGATACGGGTACGGCGATACGGCACTTTCAAAAATTATAGGATACGGGTACGGGGGTATATTTATAAATAATAAAAATATAGGGTATAATTTGCAAATATATATAATTCAGGGGTTCATAAATAAAATAATAATAATAGTACAAAAAATTAACTATTATAATAAGGTTTCAAAGATTAGTCTAAAAAACTAAAGTATTGATATTTTGATTTAAATTCAAATAATTTTTTTTGTTCTCTATTTGCATTTACATCCAAGTCTTGTTTCAATTAAATATCATCAAGCAATGAAATGTCAAATTATAGTATTCCATTATTTTTCATACTCCCGAAACCATCTTTATCAATGTTCCACATGTTGTGGTCGCTTGGTTGGCTACTAAATTTTCGTCATGCCGTGTATAAAATGAGGGGTTATAGGTTCAGATACGCGTATCGGTTCACGGATACGGGTATCGGAAGTATCGGTATTTTTAAAATTAAGCCCGATACTTTTATTAAATTACGGATACGGACCCAATACGTACAGGACGGGTATCGGTGAGTATCGGATACGGATACGTATCGGATACGCGGACATATTTAGATTAAATATGTCTCATTTTGAGAAGAAAAAATCTACATATGATCATGTTATATCCTTACTTTGACAAATTCTTAAAAGTGGACACCTTCTATAAATAAATAAAAAACTTACCCTTAGAAAGCCATCTTGTTTAATCCGGCCTATAAACACTTAGTTAACTAGAAACGGCATAAAATAGAACTAAAGTATAAGCAATGTTGTAAAACATGATCAAATATAGTTTCTTCATTAAATATGACTTATTTAATCACATTAAAAGAATAAAATTCCCTAAGACCATTTGGAGTGGTGAGGTATTAGAAGTCTAAAAAGTTAAATATAGAATTTTTGGACTCCTAATTGTGTGTAGTGGTAGTTTAAAAGAGGTATTAAAAATGGGAAAGTGGATGGAGGAGGTTAAATATAGAGAGTTGGTTAAGAGGAGTGGGAAAAGGAAAAAGAAATAAAAAAGAAGAGAAAGGACGGTCCTGGGTTGCTTTTTTTGTGCGGATGATGTCATGCTGATTTCATCGCTTCATCATAATATCCCCAAATTTTTTAAACTTGTATAACTTTTTTATTTTTTATCCAAATTTTTTCAAAAATTATATCAAAATTCATAAATTTTTATGATCTTTCATATGATATCAATAGGTAATATATTAAATGATTTTTTTTAAGCTTTAACTGGTGAAGTTTTCTTGAACCTCGGAAAAACATGAAACACAATTTTTTAATTCAGGAGCCTTCACAAATAATTGAATATTACATAATCGAACTTTACTTGAACTAGGTTCATATTTTGTTAATAAAAAAAAGATAAAAAAATTAATTAAATTTATTTATTTTTACATCGAAATATGTATTTTTTATTTCATAATTATTCAGCGAAAAAAATAAAAGCACAACATTACTTATAATAATTTAATTAATGTTTTTATAAATTGATAGGTTAAAATATATGCTGAGTGTATTTTATTGACGGTGCTGGAATGCAAGAAAATGGGAGTCTAAACACTGTTTTCATATCGACGGAGTCCATTTTTAACAATTGATCTCTCAACCACTACAAATGGTCTAAGAAGGAGCTTAGAGGTCCTATTTTGGAAAGAAAACAATGTAACACTCATTTTAAAAATTCTGCAACATTTTACTCTTATTTAAGAAATTTTATCAAATGGTGTTTTTACTTGAACTTATTTCATCTTCAGACCAGATCAAATCATCAGATTTAAGCAGGCCATATAAGATCACACAAGAATTTGACAGATGTAAAATAAACAGACACATACTAAACATCTGTCAGACTAGATCCATCGACCGGTTCAAACCACTCTAGACAAGACCATTTGAGACCCATTTAGTAAAAACTTTTTTAATTAAACGTGAAATTCTGCTAGAAAACTAATTTGAAAGGGATGGACTAATTGTTAGTAGAGTTTTCATATTTTCAAATGTCAAAAGACTCTTCCACGTGTGTTGAAAGTGCAATCCGCCCCTCCGCACTGGCCACAAAAACCGTCAATTAATTTCCTAGCTAACACCTCCAAATCAATCCCTTTTTGTGTTTAATATCTCGGCTCCAAACTTGTCTGCCGGCTGCAAAATATATACTCCCTCCTACAATTATCTCCGGATTTTCTTTTTGCATCCGTACTAAAAGTCTAAAACAATCTCTCATTTCTCTTTTTGATAAAGAATTTGTAGTTCACAATACTTTTTACGCATTTTTACACATTTTTCTCTTCTCTACTCCTACAATTATCGACTACAAAACACTCACTGTCTTCATCTATGTGTCATTTCTGCTTCGGGAGATAAATATGGAACAGAGGGAATAGTATATATTGATGGGGCCAGGTCTAATTACATACTCCCTCCGTAACATATATATGTTCACATTTGAAAAGTAGGTAGATTAAGAATTATGATGGTATGATGGGAAGATAGTGAAATAATGTGATGGAATGAAAGATAAATCCAAAAAAAGTAGGTGTAATAGTGTATTATTTTTAAAATTATTGAGGGTATGATTGGAAGATTATGAAATGGGAAGATATGAATGTTACATCCAAAAAAGGAAAGTGGGATGATATAAATGTTACGGAGGGAGTATTAACATCAATTTTTGTTGGCTTCCACTTGAGGCGTCATTTTTTTTCGTATTCTTCTTGAGGTGAGCAGATTTGTAATGTGTAGAGAGTAAAGAAATTGAAATTGAAATTAGTTATATACGGAGTATATACGTTGGGCCTGGGAAAATATTCCCTCAAGTGGGCTAGCGGACTAGAATAATGTATTCATATGGGAGCCGAAACCCATCACCCCGGCTGAGTAAAAGAAGGGACTCAATTTAAGAGAGAGTCCAATAGTCATCTCTTAATGATTCAACATGGGGATCAGAATGTGGAAGAAGTCTAAGGATAAGTGGAGGCATCAGCACGTGGAGAGAAAATAGGCATACAGTTGCTAAACTTGGGGAAGGGGTAGATTCTAGTTAGAGATGGCAATTGTGACCGATCCAATGGATACCTGCACCGAACCGCCCCGGTCAAAACGGGGAAAACCGCATTGACCGGGTAACGGGTATGGGGCGGGGAATACCCGTTTTGTTTTTACGGGTAACGAGGCGGTTACGGTTTTATACATGCCCGCCCCATTACCCGCCCCGTACCCGCCCCGTTTATTTTGGTTATATTTTTATTACATTTTTATCTATTATTTGTCCCATGAGTAATAGAAGATGAGATTTTTCTATTTTCATTGAGTATATGGATAATACATGTACTAACTATAATGTTTCCATGAGAGTTCATAATAGATCTTAATAGTCTTGTTTGATTATTATCAGATTTTTAGTGAATAATTATTTTTTCAGATTAAGTTTTTTAGGTTCAAATTAATTTATGTTGTCTTCTTTCTCGTCTTGTAGATATACGAAACTTTACAGGGGCGTCTCATTCTAGAGTTATCTAGGTGATACCATTTTTTCGCCTTTTAAAATATTATTTTTATATTAAAATATCAATGACTCATTTAATAAAGCGATTACCCACGGTTACCCGCGCTTATACCCGTTACCCGTTGGGGCGGATACGGTTTGGGTAAAAATTACCCGTTGGGTAATGGGGCGGTTATGGGGCGGGGAATTATCAAATGGGGCGGGTACGGTTATATGTAAAACCATCCCCGAACCGCCCCATTGCCATCCCTAATTCTAGTAGATAAATAAACTTGTTCAGCTCTATCAAAACACACAATCATATACAGTGACGGTCAGACGGAGCCAGGAATCTATGGTTAAGGGGGCCAGACCTTAAAAATTTTACATTGCAGGAGCCAAAGTTTAAAATATCAACATATTTTCTATATATTAAAAGTATTTATATATAATATATACTTAAGAATTTTTTTTCTTGCAAGGGCTGAGGCCTACTCCAGCCCCTCCATGTCTCCACCCCTGATCATATACGATTAGCATTATACTCATACTATTGATTATTGAACATTCTGTATTAAAAAGCTCTCCAGCTATTCGAAGCTTTATATTCAAATAGTTCATCAATACTGTTATTACTGATAGCTTTTAAAGAAGGCAATAATAGAAAGTCTTCTATTTGCATATCTCGTAAATGACATGCAATGCATGTATATATAGCAACTACAACTCATCAAATAATGAAGCTATACAATAATGCAGATAGTCCAATAATGATACGTAAGAGTACAATATAATACTCCCTCCGTCCCTATTTATTTAGTCAATGTTGACTGGCACAAGGAATAAGGAATGGAAATATGTATGGTTGACCGGACTCATTAACCCTTCTACTTGAATGACGGAAAGGAAACCCCAAAATGAAGTACGGACCATTTGCTCCAAATTCCAGGCAAGATGATCTCCAACTTATTGAAATACGAAGAGCACTAAGAGGCTTATTATTGAAATACAAATAAATTAATTTAAAAAAGAAAAGCAACCATTCGTAATTACATAAGGCTTCAGGAAGTCCAAGAAATGTTCTGGATCCAACTTGCTTCCAACAAATTGATTTTAACGAGCCGGAAAATTGATAGAGGAGCATGTCCTCAAATTCGGTAGACTATACGGGAGAGGAAAGAGATGATAAGAAAAAGGAAGAGTGATTGCCTAAGGGTAAATGAAGGGACGGGAGTGGGTAACAATAATTGAGAGACGGAGCGTATTCAACAAGGGTAAATGCGTCACAACATCTTTATTTACTACCAAAAAGGGAAAGTGACTAAGGGTCTGTACTACCAAAAAGGGAAAGTGACTAAGGGTCTGTTTGCAACAGCTTCTGCTTTTAAAAAAATGCTTTTTTAAATGAAATGGGGAGAAGTGATTAAATAAAAGTTGATAGTGTTTGAGAAAAAAGTGATTTTGAAAAGTAAAAGTGAGTAGTGTTTAGTAAAATAAGTACTTTTTGTGTAATAGAAAAAGTAAAAGCACTTTTGACGCAGAAGCCGAGAAAAATAAAAGTTGTAGTGTTTGGGAAAATAAGTGCTTTTTTAAAGCCAAAAACTGAGAAGTGCTTTTTTAAAAGCAGTTGCAAACCAACCCTAAGTATTTTGGGACGACCAAATAAGGAAAGATGCCAAAATAAACAGGGACGGAGGGAGTATAACATATATGGTTTAATACCCTCCCTCAAGTTGGAGCATGAGGATCCAAAATGTTCAACAAGAAGAAAATGAAACTGTGTGGTTCCCAAGGCTTTAGTAAAGATATCCGCAAGCTGAAATGTACTGGGAACATATGATGGAGTAATAATTTTGTCAGTGATGGCGTCTCGTACAAAGTGACAGTCGACCTCAATATGTTTAGTGCGTTCATGAAAGACAGGATTTTTAGCAATGTGAAGAGCAGATTGACTGTCACAAAAGAGAGGTATGGGAGTGGGGTGTGGAACACCTAAGCTGAGGAGTAACACTTTAAGCCATTTTAGTTCGCATGTGACGGAGGCTATGGAGCGATATTCAACTTCAGCAGAGGAATGTATAATATAATATATATGATTTAATAATTACTTAGTTTATACAGTATATTGGTTCGTCCATTATTATTGATTCAAATATTGCTTGATTCCCAACACAATTCTATTTTAGATTAGATTATTTCTTGTACAAACAATATATATTCACATCTGAGAATCGAAGCTAAGTTACAAATATATAGGAGTACGTAACGGTAAGAGTCATAGTGGATGCCAATCAAGTGTGTATAGTACACGACCGGATTGTACAGTAATATTTGTTAATCCCAAATAATATGTAGTATATGGATTAAAATTAAGGTTTATTATCACAGCTAATGCATTCTGATGATGAATTTTTAAATGAGTTTATTGAATTGTGTTTGAATTGCTTAAATTAGTTAATAAAACTATACTAAAATCAACGTAGATTTAAGTATTGATTTGATATTTTAAAAACAACCAAATGAGCATACACTACCTCTGATTTAGTCTAAAATGGTTTGGTCTAATCCGATATATATCATGTCTTGTGTATTTTACAAGAAATCTGATCTGACCAGATTTGATCGTAACGGCTCTGATTTGATATGGAAGATGTCTTGTTCATGTGTACTACCCCGTCTTACTAAGTTTGGGACAATTCGGTTTACGATGCTTGGTTGAGGATAAAGAAAACAGAGTCTTGTCTATACTCAAATTATTTTTAGAAAAAACAAATTACATATTCAGAAACTACATTAAAAACTTTACAAAGTCGCAAAACCCAGAATCGAATTAGATAAATATTTGATATATAAAGTAAGAGATTAAGAGTGATTTGTATTGACCAATTCAATAGTGTCTGAGACAATCATAGAGGGACAGAGAGAGTATTTTATAACTATCAAAGTCTTAAGTTCTAGTCTGATCTTGCTTGTTTAGTTTGGCCTGATATGATCTGGTGTGATTTGATCCAATTTGTTTAAGTCAGGTATGAGACTGAAGTAACTCCAAGTCAAAAAGTGTAAGATTAAAGCCGATAACTAGCCAATAAGATTTTTCTTACTATGTGTATTCAAAAAGTTAATTAGACTTGTATGTTTGTATTGTCATTATATAAATTGTTAATATTGCATGAAAGCCAATAAAGTGCACACGCGTTCGTTTTATTTAAATCTTATAATTGAGTTGACCATATGTAGGCGTGCCTACTTTCATCTGATTGTGTTTAATGTTCTTCGAAATTGATTGGAGATAAATATCATGTCAAATTTTATCTAGTTTAAAGTTTATGTAATGATGTTTTTCAAACTCCCAAACATACTCATACTCTAGGGAAGTGCAAATATTCCACGCTGACTTCAGCTACATTCCCACGTCAAATAACGTTTTGTGAAAGAATGAACCAATTGAGAAATGGGATTTGACAGGGCTAGTTGACTGTCTGAATGAACTAAGTCAAATTACGGAGTAATACTAAGTGAATAATTGGAATCTTTTTTAATTTGATCTTTAGATTTGAATGGATTTAGTCAAGGATTTTTTCAGTGAGCAAAGAAAATCTACATCCGGTTCGCAGTTGTTTCCACACGGTTCAAAGCAAAAATATAAGCACATTGAACATTTGTCTCACTAAATTTGATGTCATGGCGAACTTAAGGAAATAAAAAGATTTGATATCTTGGTGAACTTATCATATCTGCGCAATCGTGTTGATTGCTTAATTGAGATGATCTAAGATGGATGCAATTATTAATGCCGTTATATATTTGAAATGAAAAAGCTAAGAGCATACATTCTCCGTACAATTTATAATGTAACCCCACTTTTCCCTTTCTCAAAGTAGTAAGAGAAGGAGACTGAGTTGTTTGGCCGCAAGAGATTTCTTAAATTCTTACGACGTTATCGCATGCGGCCGAACAATAATAATAATAATAATAATAATAATAACAACAATACAGTTATTTTATGATGCAAACGTTCTTCTTCAAAACTTCGAACCGAACCGCCAGCCGGCCTAGGTCGGAGTCACCCGTCCGGAGCGGCGGCCGCAGATCATTATTGTGCTTCTGGCAGCGGCGGCGCCAAAGGAAACCACCGAAGTGAGGAGTTCCTTGAAAACTCTGATCTTCACGTCCCCTCTTCTCGCCCTCTTCATCTTTGGAGCTGCTGTTCGGAAATCCATATGATCGAGCTAGCTGATAATCTGTGATTCCTGTGATACAATATACCAATTAAGTACGAGGTATAGTATTTGGGTATTATTTGCGAGGTCGAAATGGCAGAGTAGCCGGAATATAAGGCACTTCCGGCTTGGCCCACACGGATATAAATAGCAAGACTTCAACATCTCTTATCATTACTAGCTCACTTTCCTTGCATCCTCCCTTATCACCATGTGAATTACTCCATATTACTTTTGGGTTTGTTCCATTGAATTATCTGATATCAAATTTTGTTAAAATTTGTATAGTTTAAAATCATTCTTACTTTATTCTTATTTTATCAATTCAATATAATCACAAAAACTCTTTTTTCTCTGTCACGTCCTCATGTTTCATTATTGTTAGTGCAGTGGGAGGAAGTTAGAACTTGTTTTAGTTGTCTTTCTGGTTTGCAAATTATACCCTACACATCAAAACTATGGACACAATTCAATAAACAAGAGTAACACACAATCCATTTTCAAGGAGTTAGTTATATTGTTTTTTTGCAAATACTTGTACTCCGGAAAGACACAATCCATAAACGGAGTATAATTCATCATATATTTAATTCTTGTTTGATTTTTTCATTGGTTTATTCTCTTAACACTTGGTGTTAAATAGAAATGACATAAAATTGGACTCACATACAAGCAAAGTTCTCAAATGTGATCAAATATGTTTTCTTCATTAAAAATATGACTAATTTAGTCTCACTAGAAGAATATAAGCTACACTCAATAGGAATATAAGAGTCCTATTTTGGGGAAAACAATTTAACACCCATTTAAAAATTTGCAATATTTTACTCAATCTTAATTTCTCTTAATTAAATGTCAAATTCTACTTGGAACAAATTAAGTGAAAGGGATGGACTAATTGCGAGTAGTTTTCATATTTTCAACGGTCAAAAGATCGACCCTTCCCCGCTGCTAGCCACAAAAATTAAAGAGTCAATTTAGTATCTAACACCTCAAAATCAATCATATATCTTCTTGTTTTTTACATCTAGCTTGTCTGCCGCCTGCAAAATATATATTGATACTGTGCAAACTATATTTATAGGGTACTAATACGTATAACAATAAGACACATCACATCACATGTGTAATGTGTTCATTCAAAAAAGTGTGCTAGATTTAATTGTCATCCATATTCCATAGTAGTTATCGTCCTCTATGAGATACACTATCTCAATATTATGAATTATGATGAGGAGAGAGAAATATGGATACTGATGAAGATATAATCTTCGAAACTTTCTAGGAATATGCATGAAAAGCTAAGGTAAACTATTAAGCATCATTTTATATTTTTATTTGACATATACGGAATATATTTTTATGATTTTACCTTTCGTGTATAAAGTTATCTCTATATATTCTCTAATATGTTGATTTTAAATAAGGTAGATTTTATGGGATTCATAAGGTATCATACCTTTGTCTACATGAATCGATTCAGAGACGGCCCTGCATGTTCGAAGGCCTAGGGGCGGAAAATGAAAATGAGTCTAATGTTACAAAAAATTATAGAACTCTTTTTTATCTAAACTGACAAGCATAATAATAGTAATAATAATATAATAATATTTCAAAATATTTATAAAAAACTGTCAAACCCTGTTCTCTCTAAATCAATCATATTATAGTATTGGTGATCCTTATTCAGGAAGGACACAATGATGATCCTATTTGTACACTTTATTGATGTTTAAGTCATATTTAAGTAATTAACTATATATCACCTCCTACCCCCCCCCCCCCCCCCCAAATGATGTAACCATTCTGAATCACTTCATTTTCAGCAGTTAAATTATTGTTTTTCTATGAGTTATCATCTTGAGGAGGGCATTCAGAATTTGACTTATTTAAACAAACAAACCTTTTCATTGAACTTTTTTTACTTAGCGCCGCTTTCTCTAATCATTCCCTTTTTTTATTTATCCTATTCAGATTCAATCCTTTTTATTACACCTTAATAGAGAACAATC